AAATTGAGCCTGGGTGGGTGGCAGGGTGCACAGATCCCTCTGAAAAGCAATGTAACAGAGTGGAATGGACAAGCTCTTTGGAATCAGACCAACCTGGCTCTGAACCCTGGTTCTATCATTAACAGGCAGGGTCACCTTGAGCAGGTTCCTTGTGTTCTCTGAACTCATTTTTGCCCCTACAAAATGGGGTTGCTGCTGCTGCTCTCCTACCAGGCAGCTGCTGAAACGAGATAGTTGAGAAGCTGCCAGTTCATTCTTTCCTTTTCCTTCCCATGAGTAACAAGGTACTTGTACTTCCATGATTTTGATGGTGTCATTGACGGTGGGAATAGTTGTAGGGAATTGTAAAAATGAATAGCTATTCATTTTTAAAATTAATCAACAGGAATTTGTTAGATTTGCAGGGGAATAAGTAAAGCAAATCCTTAATGACTAGACTCTGATAAAGGGGAAACCCAAATCGATGATGCTAATCAATTTTGACTGATCATATGCCGAGTGCTTAGATGGGGGTCAGGGAGACAGCAGTTCCCAATGGCCAATAGGGCAACACTGTCTCTGTGCACACTTTCCCACTTCCCCAAGTTACTTTCTTTATGGACACTGTATACATCTCAGCTTCCCCCTCTAGAAGGGGTCCACAAGTCCACACGCCACCTCTTGAACAGGGCATGGAAAATGGCAAGAGCTAAGGAGCTCTGTCTACTTAGCTACAATTTGCACCTCTTACTGTGTTCTCGCCATCTCCTGCTCCACGTCCCTCATGGAGCAACTAAAATTAGCTCAACAGCCTCAGCTGATGGGATTTTAGGTGGGGTTAGTAATTAAGACAATTTATCTCCCATTTTCCCTCCAAGGCCATTTGTTCAACATGGGTAGAGAGGTTTTTCAATGCATTTACAAATAACGTAATTGAGTAATAAATTATTCCATTGATAGGAGCAGCCAATATTGTTGAGAAAAATTGGCATTTTACCTTGTTACCAATAAAGCGCATGTTGAATGGGCAATTTGGTTTAGCCCCCGCCCCCCAGCTTCTTTCCCCTGAAAGTACCATTCTTATACCTAACATGTGAATGATGAATTGAGTTAACTTTTAGAGGAATGATGACCCCAACTTCCCAGAGGTCAAAGTCACCTGAGATACAAAGGACCTTGCCAGGCCAGGCTTTCTGCTGAATATCTCAAGTTAGAACAACTCAAACTGGAAAGGTAAGCCACCTGCAACCCTGCCTTGTTCCCCATCTCGCCCACATTTTACCGTCTTCAAAAGGTCCGTTTCTTCTCTTGTTTTAGCTTCCTTGTTCTCGCCCATTCGCAACCACCATCCTCACATCTGCTCTGTATTTTGGATCTTTACCCCTGTTTGGAAATGCTGAAACAGGAAAAGCTAAGCCACTCTGCACTGGGAACCATTCTCAGTCACTTGTTGAATGTGATGTGTCAGCCTGGGACAAGGTGGGGGCAGCTGGTCTATGGCAGAGATGGAATCTAAGGCTGAGAGACTGAGGCGGGCAGACTTGAGTCTCAATGCCATGAAAGTCTCCATGACTAGGTCAACCAATGCACACAGGAGGCAACCAGTGTTTGGACAGAACTTTGTAGAGGAAAGAGAACTGGATTACTGGTAGGGAGGACAGGAGGAAATGAAAAATCTTTTTCATATCACAAGTCAAACTCCATCACAGAGTAACTCTGTCCTGAGATGGAGGGTCATAAGGCTTCCTAACTCAATTCTTTCTCCTTCCCATGAGTGACAAAAGCTGAGGCCCATTAGCTGAGGATGAGTTCTTATTGATGTTAGCTCCTTTAATGTATTTCCTTATTCATCACAGCTAGACATGATGGCATTTGACATACATTATACCTGACTGTCCCCACCCCCCACTGCCCAATCCATTTCAGCCATCCCAGAGCATCAGAACCAATATGTGAGGCTCCAGAGAAAGAGTTCCCTGTGACAGACCTCAAGAAAAAGCAGGCTGCAGCTCCCCTTCCAAACTTGCTTTCTGATCCCATGCCATGCCAAGAGCCTAGTTTTCTGATTTAGATGAAGACAAGCACTCCAGTCCCACTATGCTGACGCCAGTGAATCCCCAGTAGCCCTGGCGATTGCCCTAGTCCCAGACCTTTTGCAGGCACATTTGTTTGATTGACAACACTAGAGGCTGATTTGTCTGGACAGTCATCCACAGACATCGTGTCCCCCACCTTCCTTGCTTGAGAACTGAACTTGGATGATATAGTCTTGGAATCTCTTCCCTCCCCTTCCTCCTCTCTCCATCTCTAACAGTTTCCATGAATCCAATGGCTGTGTATGGAATGCAGGCTGACTGATCATTAAACCACAATAGCTCTGCATCCAAATGTCCTCCTTTCCAGGATGAAAATGAAAGTTTGTTCTCTGTGGAGCCCTTATTTAGAGTTCTGAGCAACCAGCATTAATTTGCAGCCTTTTTATACAATCAGATCTTTTATACAAAAAAAAGTGCTGTAGTTAATGAGACTATGATGAGAAAATAGGATACGGCAGGTTAACTGAAGACCCATGGTGGTTTCATCATCAACCTTTTCCTATGTGCATATGATGAATGCTGGCAAATATTCTAACTAACTCTTCTCCTATAGTGTAGAGGCCGCTAGTGTAGCACATGGGTGTTGGGGTGAGAGGGTCAAATCCAACTTTGCCATTGAGACTATCTACCCTTAGTCAAGGAACTCAAATCCCATGAGTTTCAATTTTGCTAATTGGGTTATTGAAAAGAATCAATGAGATAACACTGATAGAGTATTTCAGCAGTGGGGTTGACTCACAACAAGTCATTAATATAATACCACCACCTAGCATGTATTGTGTGCTGGGATTCCAATGATCTGATTTGACCCTTCTGATGTTACTGTCAATACGTGGTACAGGCAACATTATGGCTGTTCTTCAGAGAAGAAGCTGAGTACCAGAGAGGGGAAGTGAGTTGGTTACACTGATCCTTAAGGACCAATTTGAGGCTAGAATCCATTAACTCCATTCCCTTTTCTAGTGCTCTTAATATCTCACCATGCTCTACAGTCATGAAGTCATGACTATATTATATATATATATATATATATATATATATATATATATATATATATATATACACACACATATATATAATGAAGACTAATATATGATATTTATGCTATCATATATATATATATATATATATCAAACAGAAGAACATATATAAGGAAGGTATATAAGTTATCCATGCAATGATGGATCCATGAGGTTCTAGAGTAAATGAACAAGCTAGCCATCTAATTCTTCCCCCATTAGTCTCTGGGAAGCATTTTATTGTGTACTTGGAATTCAAATGCAGCCTGTGGTGTTCTGTGCTTTAGATACATGGTCTCATTCCATCCTGCAGGGCAAACTATCAGATTCATGGTGTTGACCCCTCTCTACAGAGAAAGAAAGGAAACTGTAGGAGGTTACACCTTCTGTTTCAGATAATGGACTCTGTTACAAAGTGCATATTCTGAAGCCACTCTTTTCGATTTGTTCTTGCTTCTACGGAGTTGGTAGACCAGCCTCCCATACCAATCAGAAATGAGGAGGAGCAAAAAAGAAAGAGAGAAGATGGACTCACTACAGGATGTGTAGTTCCTCCAGCCAGTCACTGCAATCCCTTGAGTCTGGCAGGTGCTGGCATAGTTTTGTAGCCAGCTGCAGGCTGTCTGCACAGCACCCCCATCAATACAGGAGTCAAACAGACAGTTTTTGTAGAAGAAGGTGGGGTTGACTTTGCTGTGACACTTGGCAAAGCCAGCATTCTGGTTGGGGATGAGGCCGCACAGCTGCTGTATTTTGGAAAAACCTTCAACTTTGGCACAGGATGGGCAGCGGTCCCCACAGCCCACCTGGCAGAAGGTGTCTCTCTTCACCCAGCTTTGCCCAAACTCATTGACACTCAGTGCAAGCAACCCCATGGGCATCTCCAGGTCATCATCAGGGTTACCATTGTAGCGTCCACACAGGCCATAGGTGCTGTTCTGCATGCTCCGGGGGACAGTGATAGACAGGAAGGTTTTCCAGTCATACACAACCTTCAGGCCAAAGTCAGTTTCCACCACCACGTGAAAGCCAAAAGAGAAAATGTTTATCTTTCCTTGTCCTAACTTCAGGGGCAGGTACAACCGCTCATTGTTGACCTGTGGGAGACAGGGAAGAGAACAGAAAAGCACAGTTGGCCTGAAGATTCCTCAGTCCTCCTAGTCACCAGTCTCTTGAAGGACACATTCCACAGGGGGCTTGCCCAGGTAATTCATGGGCTTTGTAGAGTATTGTTTATGCCAGTCAACTCTTATTACTAGGATTTGAACAGACTTAAATGACTGTCCTTTGTACACTAACATACCTATTTATTTCAGTGCCTTCTGTTTGTTTATACAGCATTATTTTCCCCTAGGAGTTCAAATTGTTTTCTCTAAGGTAATGAGAGGGTAATAAAAATTCAATTAACGTTGAGAATAAAATACCAAAACCTAGAATTCCTGTGTTTCTATTTCTAGCTCTACTGTGGATTTATTTTAGGCAATCTCCAATTTATTAATTCCATTGGGATTTTTTTTTTTGAGGACGATTGTTGGTTCCTCTGCCTGACACATCACTCACACATTAGCATCTCTCTCATCCTCAGACCTGTTCCCATGTTGCCTCTCCAATAAAGCAAGATTTTTCTGAGTCTAGGACCATGGTTTGTAGAACCACTCCCTTGCCTGAGCAAGCACAGCATGTTATTCTGGCTCTGGGTTTTTTTTTTTTTTTTTTTTTTTTTTTTTTTTTTTTTTTTTTTTTTTTTTTTGGTTTTTTGAGACAGGGTTTCTCTGTGTAGCTTTGCGCCTGTCCTGGAACTCACTCTGTAGCCCAGGCTGGCCTTGAACTCACAGAGATCCGCCTGGCTCTGCCTCCCGAGTGCTGGGATTAAAGGCGTGCGCCACCACCGCCCGGCTAGGGTTTTTTTTTTTTATTAAAAGACCATCTAAGATTCGAACAACATCTGGTGTCCAATTTGTGGGGCACGAATTCACAAAAAAAGCTGCTTGCCTGTGGTCTTGCAGGCTCTGGCCCAGGCCCGAGCTACACGCGGCCAGAGTCTCCACTCCATGTGGGCCAGAGTCCCTAACCCGCTGGCTAAGTTTATGTTGCAGCCTCTCTGCAGCAAACTCCATGGGTTTTTTTTGGGGGGGGCTCCCAAAACTGTAGGAGTCAGCCGCTTTCTTGTGTTCCCTCACGCAGATGGCTGGCTCTTTGGCTTCTTCTCTCCTGGTGGGTTGTGGGCTCTCCCTGGATCCCCATCTTGGGCTGCTACCACACTAGGTAGCTGCCTTGAAACCTACTCAGGCTTCTACTGTTCTGCTTCTCTGATCTTTCAGCTTTCACCCTGAATCTGGCTCTGGGTTTTTTATTAAAAGACCATCTAAGATTCAAAAAACATGTTATATTTATAATTATATTCTTATATTCTCCTGTAGGTCAAACATATGCATATGACAACTAAGATATATCACAACCTCCCCTTTGGTACAACTGGTTATAGGTGCTTCTTTCTTACCTGCAAGATTAGAAGCAACCTGAAGGCAGGAACCATTATGTCCACCTCTCTTTACGACTTCCTATATACCTCACAGTTCAGTTTCCCAAATTACCAAGCACACCATCCTAGCCCATCATCTCCTATGATTCAAGAGTGAAGGTGTTTTTCTTGTCCTGGCCAAGATCCTCATACCAGTCACTGTGACTGTGGTACGGTGATAACACAGATGTCCATGGTCCACACAAGGGCAACCCCTGGCCAATGAATGACCCACACTGGTGACCATCTCTATGATGTAGGTCATTTTCAGAGTATCTAGTATCCCAGTATCTAATGCCAGTCTTTATCTCTTCCCCTAAGCTTTCCCTCACTTTCTTAAGAAGCCCCTTCTTAGGGCTTGTTTCTAAAGAACCTTCTTCCCCCAAGATACCAAGAAGGTCCTTCCTTTATGCCCTTTCTCTGGGTCCATGTTCACCCCTCAACACTCAGCTCAGCTCTCTGCTTCTATGCATATTTTTCTAGGCAGAATCCAGTCATCTAACAGACATTAGTGTGGCAACTACTATCTACCAAGCATTGTGCTAGGCTGGGGCAAGGCATGAGCCCCTTTTCCAGCAAGGCAAGGACTTGGACAGATGGTGAGACCGTCTGATAAAAGCAGCGACACAGGTACAGAGATGCATGGGCCTCACACTCAGCCAGGGGGACAGAAACAGTGGGGTCTGCAGAAGACGATACTCACATGGAGTCTTAAAGGATACATTGGGTGGATGAGGTGAGGAGGAATGAGAGAAGATAAGGGAACTCCAAGGAAAGAGCATAACTCAAGCAAAAGCCCAGACCAGACAAAGCAGCTTCCTGACAATGAAAGATGATCACACTTTAGTGCTGATGGAAAATCAAATGCAACCTTGGGGGTAGAAGATGATCTGAAGACAGAGAGGCTGGAAGGACAGCCTCGTTTTTAGTGTCATGACAGAAAGCCTGACCTATGGAGGTCACACTTTGGGTGAGGGGAGGTTATCTACGATCTTAACAGGAGAATTTAAATAGAATAATGAGATCAGAAGTCAGATTACAAAGTACACTGTACATAAAATAACAAGTAGGAGATCCAGAAAGAAAGAAGGCCCACAGAGGAGTTTTGTTAGGAAGGGAGGAGGGATAGGAGAGAGCTGGAGGAGGGATGAGCATTGGTGTAGAGTAAGCCTGTTTGTGGTAATCAGGGAAAGGCTGTGGAAAGTAAAGGCTGAAGACATGGGAGGAAGGGAAGAGGGCAGAAGGGTTGCATCCACGGGGTTAGGGACAACGGGAAGGGGAGATGTCTGCGTCTGGGCAGGGGGAGAATAAGAGACACAATTCCTCAAGGATGGAGGGAGGACAAAGAGGCGAAACACAGCTTGTTTTCCAACAGGAAGCCTAAAGGTAGAAGTAGGCGGGCCATGTGCAAACACAAATGGCTGCCCAGCAGATCACCAGGGAAGGGGAGGCCACAGAAGCTCAGAGCCACCCTGAAGGCTCACACTCCTGGCTAGTGAGTGCAGCTTGCTCTTCTGGTATTCTGGGTTCTTTCCTACCTGATGTCACACAGGAGACACCATCCCAGGGAGGCACAATAATGGGATTAAACCTTGTACATGTCACTGCCAAAGAGAACCTTGAAAGAAAGCATACCCTCCAACTCTAACAAGTTCAAGTCTCCCTGTCTCTGTTACCCCATGATGCTACCTGTATCATAACCTACTACCCCGACTCTCTCTGGGAATAAGGAGTAGGAGACTAGGGACCCCAGGGAGAGGAGTTCAGACAGAAGGAAAGTAGGAAGCTGATATTGCCAAAGGGTTAGATGGGTGGAGATAAAGGTACCACAGAGGGTGAGTAGAAGGCACAAGGACAGTACTTACCACACATAAGCATCTCCATGTTCAGAGGGAACTGAATCCTTCACCCCTGAAGATACCAACTCCAAGGATGCTAGAGACCCTTCTGTAAAATACTGACATTCTATCCATAGAACCTACACACATTGTCCACCAGGCCCATTCAACCACATGTACCCCAGTACAACTCAACACCAAATCATAGATTTACTTAAAGTGTTATGAATTGTTTTGTTGTTGTTGTAGGTGTGTGTGTGTGTGTGTGTGTGTGTGTGTGTGTGTGTGTGTGTGTGTGTGTTTGTGTGTGTAACTCAGATATTAGCTGTGCAGATGACGATGCTTTGTGACAATATCAAAGAGATAGACACACCTGCATGACCATCCTCAAGTTATTTGTATGATGTAGATGCCATGCTAACAATGCTGTACACATAGTTTAGGGAAGAATGAAAAAAAAACTGCATATGCAGAATAGATATAAATGTCATACCCATGGTTAATGATGTTGGTTGAGCCTGTAGATGTGAAAACTATGGCAGGGAGCTCTGACTTCACTGGAGATGAGATCACATGTCATCATTTCAGTGATGGTTTCCCTCTGCAGATTCTATCCTCACATCCCACACTCTGCCTTCTCTCTAGGTCTGCCCTGGTGCTTCCCTGACCCAGATGCTCTTAGCTCACTCTCTGCCCAGTAGACAGACTCCTTCAGGTTTAGATCTGGGTCACCTCTTCCAAGAAGCCTTCCCTGAAGCCCTAAAACTGACCTAGACAAATTCTGTTCTGTTTTGTGCCCTTTGCGCAGAACACTTTTGCATGCTTCCTGATTATGCTGACATTGACTACTACCAGGTCCATTTCTCCCGCTAGGTTTCTTATGAGGGAAACCATTTTTACTTATTTTTGCTGTTTTTTTTTTTCATTCTTAATGCCATTGTGTAACACATTCTTTGGCTGAGGAGATACTTCCTATATAATCATGAGGACCTGGATTCGAGTCCCAAGAACACACAGAAGGCTGAACACAGTGGCACATGTCCTTAACCCTGTATTCTGTGGGAAGATGAGAGGCATAGATAGGAGAATCTACAGATGCTTCCAGGCCAGCAGGCATGGTGAACTCAGTGATGAATGAGAGACACGATATCAGATAAGGTGGAATTTGAGGACCAGCATCCAATATGGTCCTATGACCTCCACATGCATGCTGTGTGGAATTCACGTGCTTATACTCAAACACATGAATGTGCATGCATACACACAGAGATTTTTTTAAAATTTTCATTTATTTATTTATTTATTGTTTGTTTGTTTTTTGAGACAGGGTTTCTCTGTGTAGTTTTGGTGCCTGTCCTGGATCTCACTCTGTAGACCAGGCTGGCCTTGAACTCAAACTCACAGAGATCCGCCTCACTCTGCCTCCCGAGTGCTGGGATTAAAGATGTGCACCACCGCTGCCTGGCTAAGTTTTCATTTCCTAGCACAGAGAAGCTTGTTGAACCAAATTGTATCAGAGTGAAGCTCCAAAGCCTAATAAGAGGTTGAGAGGCTCCTCCACAGCCCTACCTGGTCTGTACAGAGCATGTTTGTTTTTAGTTTTATTTGGCCTTGTTGATTTTCTCATTTCCTGCAGCACAGTTCAGTGCACAAGAGGTCAGAATCATAGAAAAAAATCTCATGTCCCAGGGAGTGACATCGATGTCATCCTCCACTTCTAAGAGCACCGGTGGTGACCTGGGGCTCTGGGCTACAGTTGGTCTTCTACTTTATTTCCCACTGTCATGATGACAGCCATTATTCTTCAGCTATGGTGACTAATAATAACATCATGGGAAAAACAAATGCAAATCACTGAATAAGCAGGTCCTGTAATGCATATTAATAATTCAAAGTAACTGCTAAATCTATCCCATGGGCTCCCAGAGTAAAAAGCCTTCAGTACTGCCTGAATTCGGCCTTCTTGTCAGGAGTTTGAAAGCTATGTACTCTGTTCCCAGCATGGCACTTAGAAAAAAGGGCCCTGGCCAGGAGTCCTCATGACTCCTTCATCTCCTCATCCTTGATGTTCATTTCTCTCTAGTTGATCCTGTTGTGAGTGGAATTTTGTACCCCAGAAAGATAAACTGAGGCCTTAACTTGTGGTACCTGTGAATGCAGCCTAAATTGGGAAACATAGTCTTCAAGAACATAACCACGATGAGAGGAGATCATGGTAGATTATGTGGACCCCACATCCAATGATGGCTGTCCTTCAAAGAAAAGGGTGATATGGATAGTGATAAACAGAGTGCAGAGGGTCCTTATGGCTCTTATCCATGAGTGCATCTCATAAGACTGGGACAGGGCATATGCCTAGAAGGTGGGATGACTCTTTGTGGGGCTTAATCCAATGATGGAAGAGAAAGAAAGGTAGCATCCAAAGAGAATGGGGAACTAGTTCCTCTGAAGGAGAGAAGAGGCATGAAGTGTTCATAAATGTGCTGGCTAGTGGTGTTTTGTTTTGTTTCGTTTTGTTTGTTTATTCCTCTTGTCTATTGTTTGGTTGTTTTGTCAACTTGACACAAGCCAGGATCATCTGGGAAGAAGGAGCCTCAGCTGGAAAGAAGCCTCCGTCAGAGTGCCTGAGGGCAAGTCTGTGGGACTTTCTTCATTAACGTTGATGTGGGAGGGCCCAGACCGCTGGAGGCAGTGCTGCCCCTGGACTCGTGGCCCTGAGTTATCTAAAACAAAGCAAGCCGAGCAAGCAGTGCTCCTCCAGGTTCCCTTTAGTTCCTGCCTTGCCTTCCTCTGATGACGAAAGCCAAACCAACCTTTTCTCTCCCGAGTTGCTTTTGGTCATGGTGTTTATCACAGCAAAAGGAAGAAAATGAAGACAAGAAGAACCCAATGAGCTGTCTGTGCAAACAACTAGGAAGAGGTTAAAAAAGAAACCTGTACGACCTCAGATATCTACACCTCATGCAAGACAGGTAGAAGTGGGACATGTAGTAAAGCAGGTGGGCAAGGCTTGTCAGCAGGTAAGTATATTTTAGAGGGGGAAAAAAACCCAACAACCTTGAAAGGCAACGAACAGTGGAAGGGTATGAATATCAAGGAGATGATTAACTGCATGAAAATGTATAAACCTGAGGGGAGAAATGTGTCAGGGAAGGTTAGAGGAGGGAAGGTCAAAAGTGAGGTGATAGAACAGACAGCGGGAATGATACCTGTGTTTTACCTCTGATGAAACGGAACGGGCGGAAGGGTTACAATGAGTAGCTTCAACTGTCAAGACCTCTGCTGGAAATTTTGATCTCAAGGTTGTGGAAGTGGCTTAGTTGGTAAAGGGTTTATGCACAAACAAATTCCCAGAAGCTACATAAAAAGCCAGGCTTGGTGGCACATGCCTGTAATCACAGCACTGGGAAGAAGAGACCAGAGAATCCCAGAATCCTGTTGGCAAGCTAATCTAGCCAGTTAGTGAGAGGTCCAGTCTCAAAAAAATAATAATTGGGGCTAGAGAGATGGCTCAATGGTTAAGAGCACTGGTTGCTCTTCCTGAGGACCCAGGTTCAATCCCCAGCACCCACATGGTGGCTCACAACTGTCTGTAACTTCTGTTTCTGGGGATCGAATCACTGTCTTCTCTTGGCCTCTGTGGGCACCAGGCACACATGTGGTGCACATACATACATACATACATACATACATACATACACACAGGCAAAATACCCATACACTTGAGAACAAAATGAAAATGAAAAAAAAAATGTGGTGATAAAGGAAGAAACCTAATTTTGACCTCTGGCTTACAAATATAGATACACACACCATACATGGAGAGGCGTGGACACCTATATACATACATGAACATGAAATTAAAAGAAGAAATCTAATATGGCTAAGAGACAAACAACTGCCATATTCCTCACTAGCCTCATTGGCCCATTTAATAGCTCATATTGCTAAAGAAATGACCAGCAGCAGAAGGAAACCCACAGGAACCTTAAAAGAAAAGGTCATGATGTCATCTCAATCATTCACTTGACAAGTGTCACAGTTGGGTCACAGTTCCAATCCAACCTGGGCTCAATATAGTGAGACTCTTTGTCAAAAACAAAACAAAAACATTCTAACTAACAACAAACTAAAGCTGCTGCCTTAGATGCCAAATGCTGTGGAAAAATCCTTTTCTACACTATGAACATGTATTACTCTCATTTGCTAATAAAAAGCTAATTGGCTGATAGGTGGGCAGGAAGAGATTGAGCGTGAGAGTCAGACTAGGAGAATTTTGGGAAGAGGGAGGGCGGAGTCAGAGAGTCACCAGCAAACACAGAGAAGCAAGATGAGAATGTCGTACTGAAAAGGTACATGGCTAAACATAGATAAGAACTATGGGTTAATTTAAGTGTAAGAGTTAGTTAGTAGTAAGCCTGAGCCATTGCCCCATCATTTATATGTTTATAAACAATATAAGCCTCTGTGTGGTAATTTGGGAAGTGGTTGCCAGGTATTTGGGAACAGGTGGTTGGGACAGGAAATGTCTGCTTACACCAAGAAGTAAGATTACCCAATAAATGTAAAAAAGAAGGCACTTCTAGAAGCTGTACCCTCTCTGTGTCAAAGCTAGGTGGACCCCCCCCAGGAGGAGGAAAAACTAAGAGGACCTCTTGGGTAATACTAGCCCATTACGTTTAGCTTAGTTCACTTTATTCCAGCATTTAAAAAAGAAAGCCTATAAGATGTAAAGAAGTTCCATTGGAGATGATGGGTTATACCATAAACCTGTGAGAGGAAGGTTCACCCCCTAAATCAGTGCCTGGGAAACAGCCCCATAGTCTACTGGCTAGCTGGCTGGTAGTCAGCATCAGGCCCAGATAACACAGTGGAGCAGGGAGGGCTGCTCTGCCATGGGGGCTGCTGTCTACAGGCTGTTCAAGGAGCTCACGGGACTCCTTGGCCCTACAGCTCCTGTCACCATGGTTAAAGAAGACTTCATGGACAAGAGGGTTGTGAGGCCCTGGTGAGTAAAGATAGCATAGAGAGCCCTCAAGTGCTCCAAATGGGAGCAAGACTCTGGAACTCAGATGCTATGGCAGCCAACCGGGAGAATGGAAGAGGTCAGGGAGGCCAGACCACGCAGATGACAGGTTGATCTCAGAAAGTGGGGGTGACAAATGAGGACATTAGTGCCACTGAGACAAGTATGACCTGTGCCAGGCATGCAGTTTCATACAGATGAATGATAGCACTCGAAGGCCGTAGGATTGCCCAAGGGTGCACAGTGGTTACCAATGCTAGATTTGAATCTAGACCTTTGCTCTTGATGCATCCTTCCATGAGCTAAGGTCTATTGCTAGGACTGCCTCTGCTTTCACTTTGCTGCCTGTGACTTGGGTAATCCTTTGCTCTCTGACCCCCCAAAGCCTCTCTATAACAGCACACTATGGTTGCCTTTGGATGCTGGACTACCATGGCTCAGCAGCATCCAGCGGGACCAGGACGCTGTCTCCATAAGTGCCAAATCCATTCTGGAGGTTGGCCTTTTACTACTCACCAGCACAGTGTGCTTATAAGCCCGGTGAATCACAATGCTGTAGCCAAACACGGTCACGTCCACTTGCTTCACCCACAAGGCCAGTGATGGGTCCCGATCCTCATTCTTGGCTGTTACAATGAACTTGGGGAAAGAGTCTGAGATAGATCTGCTTCCTGTGGTGCAGAGGATGAGAGGGCAACTGGTCTGGAAGTCAAAGGGGTAGCCATCAAAGGTGAGGTAGTGGCCATAGCCGGAGACGATACAGGAAGCATCGGTACGGGGCTGGCAGTAGTATAAGCCACTCTCTTCCATGCAGTATTCATCCTCTTTGCAGGGAATGGTCTCACAGTGGACACTGTTGTCTGTGCCATTGCAGTAGCAGAAGATCTGGCAGTCCTGGTCCACCCAGAAGGTCTCATTGGTGGCAAGTTGGTGCCCCTCAAAGTTGCAGCCGCACTCACTCCGAGTCACGCACTGGCTGCCCAGCAGGGCGTAGCCTTCATCACACTGGCACCCCTCTGAGCAGCTATCCACACAGATGGGGCCCAGGGCGAGGGTCTCACAGGTCTCTGTACACGTCATACACTCCTCAAAATGGCTGTTCTCTGGGCATTCTAGAGCTGAGGTGGTCAAAGAAAAGGCAAGTTTGAGATATGAACAGTGGGTAGAGACAGAAGTATGTTGAAGTGTGCACATTTGTGTGACTACCTATGTGTGCAATCACATGTGGGTTCATATTTGTGTGGGACAATGAGCCCAATGAAGCTGTATGATTGAATACTGTCATCCTCACTGGGTGATCAAGGGTCAGAGGACGCTCACAGGCTCCGTTTGTGTATTTGATCTTCTATATAGAAGATTCTTTGTCTACAAACCAGTACTGAACACCTGCTACATGTAGACCCTCTCCTGGGCCCTTTTGTGTGCCTCATCTCAACCACCTGGATTAAGACAAGTCTTTTTATCACTGTTCTATAGGGGAGGATATGGGAGGCCAATGAGTTAACTTATCTACCTGATATGAACCAGGCAGCTGTTCAAACAGATGTTTTGACTTAGATTCTCAGGACAGTGTGTGAAGTACTACGAAAACACTTGCTTTATGGCCATAGAGATCTCTCTCAGTTCTGGCTTGTGCACATCTCTGAGCTCTCGTTTCTCTTTTGTTGTTATTGTTCAACCATAGGCATATTTACCTGATAGATTATTCCGAAGACTAGTAATTTAATATGCTGAGTCCATAGTAGAGTATCAATAAACAGCACACTCCCCCACCTGGACCATCTTTCTCCTCAACATACAGCCTTGGCCTGATGTTTCTCTCTTTGTCTTTTATTTCTCTGTATCTGGACCCCTGTGGTCTCCTTCACCTTCCCACCATGCTCTGTATGCAGTGATCCCTCTGCCTCTCCTCACACTTGTCTCTGCCAGGATATCCCCCTACAAGGCCAAATCTCATGACTCTTTCACATGTCTTCTCAAATCACACTTTCTCCCAGAAGCTTTCCTTGTCAGATCATCTCTGCCATAGATGAGCATGTTCTGTGAGGTTCTGGGTAAGCCTCCCCCTTCTCCCTGTGCCTTGGCTGGCGACAATTTGACAGGAGCAGGGACAGAATCCAAGAACACAGAAGAAATCTGCCTGTAAGTCTGTGTGGTCTAAAGATCTACAAAGGCCCCCACCCCTCTAGGAAAACAAGATCTTGCTCATAGAATGTTCTTTGGCTCTTAGACTTACAATCCTTCCTTGCCAGAGTCTTATAATCCAAGGACGTGAAGGACACTAGAGAGAAATAAATTGCATGGATATAATAGCTCTGCCCATGAGGACCAACTCAACCGTTCTGCACTGTGGACTGAAAGCCAATCTTTTCTTTCCTCTAGGCTAAAGGACCCTCTCCATTTCCATTGACTACAATACCATACGGCTTTGGAGTTGACGGCCACTTCAACACTGATTATATATGTCTGGATAGAGGAATTTTCACACTTGTCTCTAAATTATGAATGCTATAGCACTCACTGCAGGTTTATGGGGAAAGCAAACAACATGACTTATTTAAATGGCTGTTGCTTATGACTTACTGTGTTGTCTGGATTTGTCTGAAAGTCTGGAACATAGAGACCTGGAGTAATAAAATTTTTCCCTGCCCCTGAAATCACTCTGGGAAATTACTAAATTGGGGGTCCAGTTCTGCCAACAGGAAGGCTGGTTAAAAATGTCCAAACACAGATAGCATGATAGTCTCTTTCCAAGTTCAAAGAAGATGCTGTTCCTTGTCTGTAGCTGTCACTCAATCCATTCTGTTTTTCAGGACCCAGTCATAACAAGCCCTCAATACTCAGACAGCTGGCTGATCGAGTGTGCATACTTTGGTCATTCTCAGCAGATCCAAATGAGCCAACCTAGTGAATGGGCCAGGTGTAAGCCTGGCTCCCTTCCCAATGAAACTATGCTCCATGTGGTCACCTCTGCCCAAATCCCCCTTTAAAAGGTGCTTACACAAGCTGCCTCCATTCCATTGGCCTGAATGAGGCTTGGTGATGTGCCTTTCTTAAGAGCCCTCACAGCCAGGCCAGGCTAAACTGAGTGACACCCAAATGTGCTCAGGACAGTACAAAACAACCCACAAGTACTCCCTTCCAGGCAGGAGCTAGTTGTCTAAAAGGAAGACCTGGCAGTACATAGATCCAGGATGGGGGAACTTGGCAATTCCACACCATGTGTGAAATCCAGCCAGAAAGCTGAGTGTGAGAGCAGGGGCAGAAGCCATGCTAGAGAGGCTGGAGAAAGGAGGTGTGTGGGAGAGCAGATCAGAGAGGCTTTGGGGAGTATCAAGATCTCCCTAGGCAGAGCAGTCAACAGGAACAGAGCAGCTCTCTTGCTCAAGGTGACTTGGTGAAGAGTTCAGCTTCAGGACTCATGGCATCTGCTACTAGTTCCTTCTGAAGGAAGCTAAGGCTCATCAGGAGCATACTCGCCCAAACTGACAGTCGTCAGGCCTGCCACACGCTCATTGGATGTCTGAAATTCATAAATCAGAGGCTTAAAACTGTGTGTGTGTGTGTGTGTGTGTGTGTGTGTGTGTGTGTGTGTGTGTGTGTGTGTGTGTGTTTAACTCTGTTGAAAGAGCCTATAGCAAAACAAAGATTCCCCTGAGAGCACTGGGTAACTGATACCCAAATGTTTGTCTCTACAACACCCCTCACCAAAAGGAACTAGAGCCCCTTGATGTAAGGGCTGAATGTCACCCAGGGAGGAGAGAATTCAGAGATAAATATGAGCCTCCTGTTTGATCTGAAAGTAAGACAGTGCTAAAAAGCACACCAGAGGTATGACAAAGGATAGGAGTCAGTTTGAAGATCCACAGGCCAAACATGGAACAATTTTAACACCCAAAATACTTTTTAAATGCAATATAAAATATAAGACCTTAAAAAAGAACCCAGAATCCATGTCTATATTGTTGAGACGAGGTGAGATAGACACAAGGTATGAGTGGATAGGTCGATCAACTGAGGGGCAGTTGGAAGAGATGGGAGGGCTCTTACCTACAGTGGGGGGAGAGTCCAGACTGGTAAAGTAGGGAAGACAGTGCTGGGCCTGGAAGTTGTCATTTGCTAATCACAGTGCGAAAGTATAACACAAACCAGAACCAACAGTAGGTGCTGAACTGGGACAGAGATTTTAACAGAGAGCAGCAAAGGAGCATGTCAAAAAAATCTCCCCACACTTTGCTTTTTGGTTGTATGAGAAAACTCATGAGAAATCTACAGAGGAGCCATTCCTTGGCCTGGACGTAAGCATGCACCTCACTCACAAGGGGGCAGATGAGGGAAAGGAAGCAAAAGGGATAGGCTGGATACAACAGGTTTAATCTGGGTAATGAGTACATAGGAATGCTCACAATTTTTGTGTAACTTTGAAACGATTTAAATTTTTTAAATGAACTTAGAGTGGATGATGACACAGAGATACACAGACCCAGAAGTGGGTGTCTTCATGGTTTAGGTTTTGGTTTAGGGCCCAAGTTTTTAGTGGGAGAGAGTGATGTATAGAAGTTCTGGTCATGCCATTCTTCCTATCCTGCATGGGTTCCACCCTCTCAGTCCCTCCCCTTCTGCTTCTTCTGATAAGCTGGGTGTTGGGTATCTTGTCTGCTCAGGAGTTATTCTAATGACTGCTAGTATCGCCACTGCCTGGCTGAGAGGGATTGCATACTCTGGGGACAAAATGAAGAGCCAGGTACATGGGACTGTCTTAATAGCCATTCTCAGGTTTGCCCTAGGGAGAAACACTGATCTCCGACACCCTGAAAGGTTCCCCTGCTGATTGTGCCCTTCCAAAATGAATGGAGCTCTTCTTTGCCCAAGGGGAAGGTATCCGTGGAACCATCACCAAGGCTTCTGGTCCTTTAACCCGGTGTCTGTGCTCTCTGTTGATAAAAACCACCGGTCAATGGGATAACTACCTGCTCTACAATGAAAAGATACTGTGTGTTTAGAAATGAAAAGAAGGGACTTGGGAGGTGGCTCAGCTGATGAAGTACCTGCCACACAAACATGAAGGCCTTAGCTCAGGCCTCAGTTATGTGCCCCAGCATCCATATAAAAGCCCGAGTGTCTATAACCCCGGCACTGAGAAAGGTGGATCCCTGGAGCTCTCTGGTCAGTGAGTCTAGCCAGTCAGTGAGCTCTAGATTCAGTAGGAGACACTGTCTCAAAAGATAAGGTTGGAGGGGCTGAAGAGACAGCTCATCAATTAAAAGCATGCATTGTTTTTGCAGAGGACTAAGTTTGGTTCCCAGTACCCATATTGGCCTGTACCTCTAGCCCCAAGGCATTGGATGTTCTCTGGCCTCCAATGGCACCTGCACACACACACACACACACACACACACACACACACACACACACACACACACAATTTAGAAATCTAAATCTTCAAGCAAAAAAAAAATGTAAGGTTTTGGAAAGGAATAGTGGAAGATATCGATGTCAATCTCTAGTCTCTATACACACGTACATGTGCATATGCACACATATAAACCACACACACACACACACACACACACACACACAATGAAAATAAAGATGAGAAACAGTCTTGTTTGAGGATGGGACCAAAGACAGGTCCTTGGACTCCCCTTGAGCTCAGTCCCACTGAGAAGCCCTGAAACCATGGTAGAGCACGCTTCCCCAGCCCTGGCCTCCCCACGGTGCAGCGTTAACTTACGGCAGAAGTCGTAGGTCCTCCAGGGCCCCACCTCCACGTCTGCATTCTTACAAGCACTGGCATAACGGGCCACAGAATCACACAGCTCTGACTCGTTGCCTCCGCTCTGGCACAGGCGAAAAAGGCAGGTGCGGTAGTAGGCGGTGACGTTGACCACGCCATGGCACTCCAGGAAGGAGCTGTTGGAGGGGTCATTGATGATACCGCACCGGGAGCGGCCCCGGTAGAACTTGAGCAGCTCGGAGTCATTGTTACAGGCCTTCAGCAGGTCCCCACACTCGCCGTTGCAGATTTCCTCAAATGTCGTCCAGCTCTCCAAGAACACTGCCAGGTTGTCCGTGCACTTGCCATTCGGGAGGCAGAACTCGTCGCTGGCATTGGCATTGAAGAAGCCACACAGGCCCCCAGTACAGTTGAAGTACATGGTGGACAGCCGGATGTACAACAGGCCCACATCCGAGTACTGGACCGTCACCACGCCCTTGGACTCGACGGTTGTGCTGTTTTTGTTTCGGTAAATCTCCAGCCTCCCCGAAGGATGGAAAAAGGGTAATTCCACATCTTGACCATTAAGCTGAAATATCCAAAGTGCTGCCCTCAGTGACAGGGACCCGTGTAGGACCCACTACTTCTGGGGCTGGGAAAGAGCCAGACTCTGTGCCAGGACCAGCTCCTTGAAAATACCAAGGAGCTGACGGTATATGTAAACTGCACACAGACACCAACTGTTTATTCACAGGCTTGCTTCTCTCTTTGGAAAGCCCCGTTCTCTCATTATTTTAGTGTGTCCCAGATCTCAAGCTAGTCCCACACAAACACACTGAGTGAGACTGTCTTGAGGGGCTGTATTCTTCCTGCAGCCAATTTCCCTTCAGGCGCTGTTTCCCTGACAGCGCCCTTCCTCCACACCTCTCTGGCTCCTTCTTTTGCCATCAGATTTTAATTTTTGCCTGTGCCCCAGACCGTTGGGGCACATCGAGGAGAGCTACTGTCTAGATGTCCATTCACCTATCTCTGCTATTCCTTTACCAGATTAATCTCTGTCAACTCGCTAATGGGGCTGAGCACACAGCCTCTTCCTTCTGTGGACATGTGTCTTGTAATCTCCCTAGGCTGCGTGATGGGGATGTTTGTTTTCAGAATGCCACTCAATTCACGTTAGACTGAAAGGAGGGAGAACCCTTTCCTGGCACCACTTCATCTCAGCCACGTCAGCGAAGGGACCCTCACCTCGCCCCTTGGTGCCTTCTCTGGATTCAGACATTGTTCTAAGTGATGCCCAAGATTCCTTCAAGAACTAATGAGCCTGGACACCTGATGATGGCTGCATTAGCCCATGTCAGAGGGAGAGGAGGCAGCATGGCAAGGCACCCCAAGGAATCTTACCTTGACTTCCATATTGTGAACATAAACTCCCTTCTACATGTAGAAGGGATATTACATCATGAAGAACATAAACAACAACACCCAGGCTACTTGCTCTTAAATTCCATTTTGAAGCTGTGTGTCTGTCCTTGAAGGAAGTTTCTTAACCTCTCTGTATCTTGGTTTTGACATCTATATGATAAAGGTAATATTATAACCTACTTCATGAAAAAGGCTTAGAATAGTGCTTGGCACACAGCCTTCTGTGGGGACTTGATCTTATAGAGAGTGGGTTTTACTCTATCTGTTTCTGAAAATTCCAACCTGGTTCTGTTTCTCCACCTGCTAGAGTCTCATTTTGGGTCAATCATTTAAAAAAATGCCACCATATGGGAGCATGTTCTTTTTGCAATCCACTCACAGCCAGAGGAAGGAAGCCAAGCCAGATGAAAGGGGCAAGTTCCATCACTCCATCCAAA